CACGTGGCAGGGGGAGAGGAGGAACCAGCCACATCCTCTGGGCAAGGCCGGCGGGAGAGCACTGCCTTCAGACAGAGCAGTCTCTCTGCAGTGGGGCAGCCCTCTGTAAGCAGCACTGCACCCTTCAAAGGAGCCAGGATCTGTCCCAGGCTTTAAAAGTGGCCTCATCTTGTTATTCTCTTGCATAACAGTGTGATGGAAACTGGACCGTGTTTATAAAAACCCTGCAAAGATCCTGCCTGGAGGAAGATATTCATGCCAAATGACAGGAGTCAGTGCGAGCAAATGCTTGCACATGAAAGCTTCAGCTGGCTAGAGAGCTTCATTTCCATGAGCAGAAGAAAGCCACTTTGCTCTTTAATCTTCTGAAAATTTCAATCACCTCGATTAGGGAAGAGAGGGCAGGACAGGGGGGGAAGAGGCTCCCTCCCCGTTTGCACCTGCGAGCTTGCCAGCTCCACGTCTAGGTCCATGGGGAAATGGGGTAACCCTCAGAGAGCCTCTCTGATCCGTACCACCAAATAAAGCATTGCTCTGGAGCTTGCCCACCGCCCTTCCCCTGGCTACGCCACAGCCCCTTGGATTTAAACCTTTAACCCTAGGGAAACTGCACAGCAACTCCTTTGGGCGGAGAACGGATTACGCCCCCTTTCAAAGGTATTCGGCACTTGGGCTGCGCTCCCAGTTTTGCATGTGGAGATCCCTGTGACCGGCCCAGCCCCTCCTGCGAAAACACCTGCAGGCAATTCTTGCAGCTGGTGCCTAGCAACACATGCTCTGAGCTGCTCCGACAACAGCTAAAATTCAATGTTATTTCATTCTTCCTCCCCAGAGGAGCAGCTCTTGAGTCATCACCAAGGAGAGAATGGGACATGTCTCCCACTCGGGGTGCTATAAATGAATGCTCTGTGAGAGGCCGCTCTCCTCTGCCTCTCAAGCATGTGCGTTGCTGCCAGCTAAAAAGGCATCTCGCCTGAGCGTGCAGGACAGCTGCACGTTTGGGAGATTTGGTAAAGGTTTTTCTCCTCCCTTCCCAACCTGCTTTCTGCTTCCTCCGAGCTCTCCTGCTCGCTCCAGCTAGTGGGTGGCATCCCTTATTCCCATGCTCTGAACGCAGAGCTGAAAGCGTTGAACCAGGTTTGGGCCTGTGGTCAGCGCTATGCTGGGCTCTGCTCTGGCAAACCCCAAGTCAGGTGCTTGCTGCTCATCGCAGCAAACATACGCAAATAGCTACACGTTCGGGGCTGTGCCAGGCCCTCTCTAGCAAGACGTGGCAGCTTACAGGTTGTCTGCGTGACAGAGAGGCAGAAGGCATCCCTGAAGCAGAGCAAGATGCTCTTGGGGCAACATCAGCGAGGAAAAACGCATAGGGAAACAAACTCACCTCTCTTTGGGGCGGTAGGGCCCCAAGCTCTGAGGGGCATATGTTTGCCCCCGCAAACAAGCCTGAGATCCGGGTGGGTTTCCCAACGGGAGACTGTTGGGAAATCTCAGGCCTGCCCCAGTGAGGCGGCTCCAGCGGTGGCGTCTGGTGGGAGGGCAGCTCGCCACGCCTGCCTGGCTGCAGCTGCTCCCAGAGCACGGGGCCACCACTGCAGGCCTGTCCCTCTGCTCGCGTCCCTGCTCTTTCCCCCCGAGAAGTCCCTGGGGCGTCTAGCGACTGCAGCCAGGGGCAGGAGGCGTCTTGCTGTTAAGGACAGTGGGGGCTGCCGGGAGAAGCACCTCTATCTCATGGTGTCTGCCCTCAGCTCTTGGCTGCCCGCAGTGCTGGTGTAGGCTGGAGGGGAGACGGAGACCGGCCTGGTAACGAGCCTGGACTCTACGGTCCGAAGCGGATGAAGAAAGACGTCGGTAAGTGCAGTACCTCTGACAGAGATCCCTTCAGCTTGTCCCAGGACCCTTCAGCGGTGTCGCGCCCGGGATGGCAGCTTGTTCTGTCCCCAGCTTGTTTCAGGTGGGTGTTGGGCTCAGCAACGTGTCGCTGTGCAGATCACCACCCCAGCAGCATTGCGCAGGTTAGCTGACAGGGAGAGAGAAGCATTTTATTCAGAAAAGTTTAAAAGAGCTGAGCCTGATCTGACCTTTTCTAGAACCCAGCGGGTGTCTCTGCAAGGGTAAGTCAGGAGCTGTTCCGTGCTGTGCTGTGCCATGCCACACCATGCTGCCTGAAGGCCAGGAGACCTCCCGGCGAGTCCGTTTCCCTTCCAGCCACGGGAGGGGACAGTCCTCTTGCCCTGGCCCTGGGCAGCACTGGCGGTTTGCACTGATGACACTAGCTGAGTAGATTGACCCGAAGTGGGTTTGGGACAAGCTAGGGACAGCAGAGCTTTAAGCCAGCAGGGCCAAATGCAGGAGGAGATGCTGTCTGTAGCGTAGGACCGTGCCTTTGCTGATTGAAGGGGCCACCGGCCCAAAAACTTGTGCGCTTGCTGGCTAGGTATGCCCTCCCGGTCTGGTGGCCACTTCCCACCCTGCTCTGCAGCTTTCAGGCCAGATCAGCTGTTAGTATTGAAAGAAACCGCTGAAGCCAAGTCTTTGCTAACCTGGCTCAGAGAGAAGTGGCAAGCAGCCGGGAGCACAGTGGAGACAGGGACCTTTGCAGCCAAGGGGTGACGTGTTGATAGCAAAATCCTCAGCTCAGAAAACGTCTCCTTCTGTCCTGTGAAGGTAACAGGCAGAATTAAGGTTGAGCTTCCTGACCTCTAAGTTCTTGACTTCTGTTCTCACATTACAGCAGCAGCAAATCCTATTGCACAGAACATATATATATGTGTGTGTGTGTGAGTGTGTGTGTGTGTGTGTATGTTTCAAACTCTTCTTGTAAACTGTTCCAGGCTTGATCAGAAACAAGGTCATCTGCATTATTAACAGCAAAACTGGGCAACTTTAGTTTTTAGTATTCTTTTTTCCAACTCTTTAGTTTTCATATTGAGCTACTGAAGCATAAGTATGTTGTAGTCAACAGCATTTCTAGCTTTCAGTGTATATTACTTTAAGATATTTCTATTTGCCTGAACTCCTGTATATGCGTGCAATATCTCTAAATCCCTCCTTTCCTAAAACTAACAAGCCAGGGACGTAGAGCGTGCTCTGGGTTCCTTCTGATGTCCCGTCCCCATGTTGTCGCCTTCCCCTCCCCCCCCAAAAAGGTTTTCCTCTTGACTTGGGCTGAAGATTAGAAAGACAGGCATTTTCCACAGCAAGCAGACAGGAATAAGCGAGGGGAACTGTGAAGTGAAACTGCAAATGGCAACAGCAAGCACTTTTCCCTGACACTCATGCCAATCTTCCTCTACAAAGAGTGTAAATTCTGCTTGTATTTACACTGATGTAAATCTTTAATAATAAAGTTCTTCCCAACGCTTTTACAGGACTGCACATTTTACTCTTGCAGGTGGCATACCTAACATTTAAGACATGGTATTAGTTTGATTATTGTATTTACTGTATCGTACTGTATACACAGCACCTGGTGTAATGGATCCCAGTGTTACAAAGGCTCCAGCATGCTTCCTCCGGAGGAAAGGACTGAAAGCAGGGTAGGGAGAAGGTTGGGAAAGGCCCTCCAGGTACCACGACAGGGCATGCCAGCTTCCCCTTCGGAGCTCTCTTCTGACCTTTCCCTCCACCTGTGTTTAGACAAAATGAAATTCTGCTTGTTTTTTAGATTGCTGTCACTCGACTGTTTCTTCTCCTGGATGAAAACAGTTAGCGTTAGTTCAAGATGCTGGGGAAAAAACACTCCCTGCACAGAGAGCGCTGCAGCGGTGAGAAGGGTTTTTGCCCAGCTGTTGCCCACTTTACATGCTGATTTACCAGGCAAACGTGTCGCAGTAGCAGATGACAACTTAAGGGCACACCGAGTGATTTAACTGCGGATGTTTACATGACCTTTAGCAACAGCAAAACTCAAAAGAGACCTGAAACCTTTCTGCTTTAAACCCAGCTAACTTTAACGGCCGGCCTTTCCAAAGGAGGCAGTAAGGCCGCTCTGGGCTTGGAGGAAGGAGGCTGTGGCATTACCCAGGGAACAGCAGGAACGCTTGGCCCCTTCCTTGGGAGCTCCTGCGGCTTGTCCCGACTGCGATTAAGCGCCGTCCTTTCTGGGCGTCCAGCCCAAACGCAACCTCAGCAGCTCCACAGCGAGCCCCATGGGGTCGTGCGTGTGCCCTGTCCCCTC